AGTTGCTAGTGATAATAGGATCTTGATTGTGTTCATCTTGTCCACGTGCAAAAATTTCCTAGTAGTTATCAGAGCACCTTTCCACCACTACCTCCACACGGTCTAACAGCAAACAAACACCTAGCCTAATCACCCTTAAACCATAACAAACGAAACACCACATCTGCCATACACGTGGCAAGGATTCATCTATATATGAGCACTGTTGTAAACATTAGCTCTTGAGGAAAATGAGATTATACTTTGCTATTGAATTATTGTTCTTCTTCTTATATATGTTATAGCTTGCAGGTATATCAGGAGGTCATCTTCTGCATTTCTTCATGGTATCAGAGAAAGGATGAGAGAATTTCTTTCTCAGCTACAGTAAAATGGGTCAGTCTACTTCTTCCCAAACGTTAGATCAATCAGCGGCTACATCTTCGTCTCTGCTAGCCATACCCTCATCTTTAAAACTCGTTCTCTCCAATATCAAAATCATAATCCCAGCTCCGCTTTCCAACGACAATTACCCTACGTGGAGATCACAGATTTTGAAGCTGCTTCGGGAAAACGGATTCGCAAACCATCTGGACAGCTTGGAACCCCGTCCCAACAGGCTTCTTCAACACTCCGATGGTACTACCTCCCTTGATTCAATCTACACCCAATGGCTCCTCATTGATCAGAACCTAGCCGCAGCTTTGTGCTCATCTATCTCACCATCAATACTGCCGTATGTTCTACACCTGGATTGCTGCTCCGATATCTTGTACACACTAGAGCAAAGGCTCCAAGCTTCAAACAGATCCCGGATAATGCAGTTAAAGAACGAAATGCATAATGTATCAATCGCAATCTCTCCACGACACAGTATCTCACGGCGATCAAGACACTAGTCGATAACATAGCAGCTGCTGGATCTAAGGTTGATTCAGAGGATATAATACTGTATATCCTCAATGGGCTCCCTACAACCTATCAGACATTCAAGACTTCAATCCGAACCAAACGGAGTCCCATTACTCTGGACGAACTCTACTCCTATCTTCTTACAGAGGAGATCAATCTAGCTGCAGAATCACACAAAGAACAGCAAGCAGTCGATCCTAGTGTGGCACTCTACTCCTCCCGTGGTCGTGGACGTCGCGGTCGAGGTCGCTCTCCAAACTACAACAATAATGGCAATCGCTCCAATCTCTTTGCTACAGTCATTTGTCAAATCTGTGCCAAGCGAGGACATACGGCATCCCAATGCTGGCATCGCCTAAATGTAAACTACACACCCAATCCACAACAAACAACACCAAAAGCTCTGGTTGCCGATTCCGCAATACCTTCTTAGGAGCTTCATCGCATCTTACCAATTCCCTGGACAACATCTCACAGCCGAACTCCTACCAAGGTATGGATAGCATTACTGTTGGCAATGGACAAAACCTCCCTATCGCTCATGCTGGAATAGGTCTCCTTCCCACTCCAACCCGTAAGTTATCTCTCCCTCAAATTTATCATGTACCTACCATATCTCACAATCTACTCTTTGTGTCCAATCTTACTCATGACAACAATGTTTCTATTGTTTTCTCTCCCACCGGATTCTGCATTAAGGATCTGAAGACTCAATTACCATCCTCCTCCAGGGATCATGCCGCAATGGTCTATACAAAATTAACATTCCCTTCAAGGCTTCGAACTCATCCGCGCTTGCTGCCACTTCATCTTCTTCTCAGCGGTGGCACAATCGCCTTGGTCACCCCCACAGTCAAGTCCTAGCAACGATCGATCTCTCACGCCAACAGAGAACTTGTTATTCCTACCTCTTTATCTTCGTGTTATGTCTGTAAGGCTTGTTATTCCTACCTCTTTATCTTCGTGTTCTGTCTGTAAGGCTGCTAAAAGTCATAAATTAGCTTTTCCCATTTCTATCACGTTTACTGTAACTCCTTTAGCTTTACTACATCTCGATATATGGGGTCCTTCCCCAACTATCTCAAGTAATGGCTATAAATACTACCTTATCATCATGATGATTTCAATCGGTTCACATGGGTTCACATGGATTTTTATGCTACGTGTTAAGTCTGAGGTACCCAAAATAAAATTTCTCCAAACGGATGGTGGCTCAGAATTTACAAATTCTGAACTTCGGCTGTGTCTGCAAACCAGTGGCATACACCACATAATTTCTTGTCCCTACACTCCGGAGCAAAACGGCACAGCAGAGCGTAAAAATCGACATATCATAGAAACGACTCGCACCTTACTCCATACTGCAAATCTCCCTCATAAATTTTGGCCAGATGCATTTATTACAGCTGTATACCTTATAAACCGAATGCCATCAGTCAACCTACAAATCAATCTCCCTTTCAGCTATTCTACAACCAAAAACCAAACTACTTCCACCTCAAAACCTTTGGCTGTGCTTGTTATCCTTGGCTACCACCCTCACAATGTCACAAATTAGCACCCAGAGCTCCACAATGCCTCTTCCTTGGCTACCTGGAATCATATAAAGGGTACAAATGTCTCAATCTATCTACAAACAAAATTGTTATTTCAAGGCATGTGACGTTTAATGAAAACTTCTTCCCATTCTCCAATACATCCGAATCATCATCACATCCATCCAATGTCACAGCTTCTCCAGCAAATCCATCCCTACTCATTCCTACCTCCACCGTAGCTCAACACCCACTCACCATCCAATCCACCACTTCCCCTCCAATACCCTTCAGCTCCACAGAAATTCCAACATCCTCAACTCCCCAATCTACTTCACCTAGTCCCTCCAGAGTTCCCAACATTCCCACTGCTCCATCAATTCATCCCATGATCACCCGTCTTAAAACGGGCTCTCTCAAACCCCGCACTCTTCTCAACCTCATCCACAAAATTCAACCACAATCTCAAACTACCTCTGATCCCCAGAACTATTCGGAAGCTGTTAAAATGCCACACTGGCGCAAAGCAATGGCTCTCGAATTCTTAGCCGTACAATAGCAAGGGACCTGGTTGCTGGTTCCCAAACCCTCAAACGCCAATGTCCTAGGCTATCGCTGGACTTACCGCACAAAATTCAACTCCAATGGAACCATAGCTCGCCACAAAGCACGTATCGTGGCTCAAGGCCACCGTCAAGAGCATGGGCTGGACTACCACAACACATTTAGTCCGGTAGCCAAAATGCCGACTATTAGAATCTTCATACTTCTTGCTCTAACTCAAAACTGGCTCGTACATCAATTGGATGTAGCCAATGCTTTCCTACATGGAGACATTCATGAAACTGTCTATATGACTCAACCCAAAGGGTTTAAGGATAATCTTCATCCAAATCATGTTTGTCTTCTCAAAAAGGTCATTTATGGGCTCAAACAAGCTCCCCGACAGTGGTTTCACAAATTCTCTTCCTACCTCCTATCCCACGGCTTCAAACAAAGTCAATCTGATTATTCTCTGTTTACTTTCATCACTTATGAAATCCAAATTCATCTTCTAATCTATGTCGACGACATCCTTCTTTCGGGAAACAATTCTCACACTGTCTCTAAACTAATACATCATCTCAGCCAACATTTCACCATGAAGTACTTGGGAAGAGCAAATCACTTCCCAGGTATTCAAATTCAAACAACCCCCAGCTCATACTTCCTTTCTCAAAGCACCTATGCCAAATCCATACTCAATCAAGCCGGGATGAGTTCCTGTAAACCGTTGTCCAACCCAAGCTTCACCAAACTTCCCATGGCATCATTCTCGGACCCAATTCTCCACAATCCTCTCACCTACAAACAATTCACTGGATCTCTTCAATACCTCACTATAACTAGACCTGACATAGCGTACTCGGTTAATGTCCTTTGCCAACATATGCATGATCCACAACCGGTGCACTTTCATCTTCTGTAAAGGCTGCTCAGATATCTCCAAGGAACTGTTTATTTCGGTCTCCCTATCAACAAGGGACCTCTTCAACTTACGTCCATGTCGGATGCGGATTGGGCAAGCGATCCAATTACAAGACGCTCTACCTCAGGCTATTGCTCGTTTCTTGGATCAACACTTATTTCTTGGAGCGTCAAGAAGCAGCACACAGTGGCGAGATCCTCTGCGGAAGCTGAGTACCGGGCCATTGCTGCAGCTACAATAGATATTATTTGGCTTCAGAAATTGCTAACAGATTTCAACATTCACACAGTTCAGCCAACAACCCTTTATTGTGACAATATGTCTGCAATAGCCATTGCAAACAATCCGGTTCTTCATGCCCGGACTAAACATATTGAAATCGATCACCACTTCATACGTGATCATATTCAGTCTAAAAATATCATACTCATGTCGGTCAACACTTTGGATCAAATCGCCGACATCTTTACCAAACCGTTGTCTACAAAACGGTTTCAACAACTAAGATTCAAATTGACGGTTCAACCGGAACCATCCATTTGCGGGGAAGTATCAGAGCACCTTTCCACCATTACCTCCACACGGTCTGACAGCAAACAAACACCTAGCCTAATCACCCTTAAACCATAACAAACCAAACACCACATCTGTCATACACGTGGCAAGGATTCATCTATATATGAGCACTGTTGTAAACATTAGCTCTTGAGGAAAATGAGATTATACTTTGCTATTGAATTACTGTTCTTCTTCTTGTATACGTTATAGCTTGCAGGTACATCAGGAGGTCATCTTCTGCAGTTCTTCAGTAGTCGATGTCGTATGTCTGAGTGTATCCTTTCGTCACTAGTCTTGCCTTATACCTTTCCAGTGTACCAATGGCTTTGTATTTCACAGAGAACACCTATTTTTGATGGAAAATCGGCCTACGTTATTAAATGCAATAATTACACACACAATTTGTAGATTACTTTTTGTTTCTGCTGTTTATTGTAAAGTGATTTAATTATTCTTTTCTCCATAATGTTAGTTCGAGTCTGTTCAGCTTTTTATTAATCATTTCATTTAAATCGCATGTTCTGAGTCATTTAAAGTTGTGTTTATAGTTGCTTTCATTGGAGGGTCTCTTTTTATACTTCAACAGCTATCGGGGATCAATGGAGTTCTATACTTTTCATCCTTGACTTTTAGTGATGTAGGTATCACTAGTGGCTCATTGGCAAGTTTGTATGTTGGAATTACTAACTTTGCAGGTGAGCATATGGGTGTGTAATTTTGATTTCTGTATGCATTTCCATAATGGAAATTTGAGCTTTTCCTCTGCTTATATTTAGGGGCTTTAATGGCTTTGTTCTTGATGGATAAACAAGGAAGAAAGAAGCTGTTAGTTGGAAGCTATCTTGGAATGGTGAGATATTTTTGTGAAGTCATAGATGTCTTTTTTATTTATTTCTCACAATGGGGCACATTGCAGTGAGCAATTGTGGAGTTTAATTTATATCTTTACAATCCCTTTTTGTTGATATGCTGCCGTAGGAGAGCTTGGCAACCGTATTGTATTAAAGCAACCTATTTTTTGGGTTTTGCATAGGCTTCACTGAATATTATTATTCTCAAAACATGGAAAGAGTGTGAGCATAGAAGCAGAAGGTAGAAGCAGAAGGCATCTTCTGAAATATCAAAGGTGGCCGAGTGTCTTTGATTTCTAAACTGTGGGTGAAGTCAAGGATTTAAACGAAGCTTTTGATAATATATAGTAGTTCATTTTTTGTATTATAGAAGAATTTTAATCTTCTTTTTGTAAAGTAATGTTAAACATGGTAGGAAGGTACAACCATGAGTAGTTGACTTCTGCATGATTTGTTGGGAAGTCTGAATCTCGTTGTATTTAGTTGTATGAGAAAAATAATCTAATACTGATAAAAGGAAAGTCTTACTTTTCCTACTGAAATCATTGTTTTTGTTAACCATGTGCTTCGTATTTGATGTATTCACACAAAGGGACAGCTTCTTTTGAATTGCGATATGAACCTTCCGAGCCAGGCCATTAGCACTTGATAGACAGTTTAAAGTCTTGGTATGAGTTACTTTAGTTATTCTAAGTATTATAGTTAAAGTCCCCTTAATTATAGCTCTTAAATCTAGGCCAGATATCAACTGGCGAAGGGATTGAGTTATTTCGTCTGTGGTTTAACAGTTGGATTATTGGGTCAATTGAATATCAATAGTAGAAATAGTATTGTTCTCTATGTTCTATGGTTAGAAGCTGTGCAATAAAATTTGTAAAGAATAGAGTTGATACCTAAAGTAGCACTGGGCAGAAATGAATGCAGAGGAGAATTGATGAACTTATATCTAAATAGTCAGGATAATGCTAATGATGAATATGATGTTGAAACTCTTTAATGATGAATATGATGTTGAAACTATGATAATGCTAATGATGAATTGAGACTTAGCTTTATTCCAAATTTAATATTGATTTCTTAGCTTTTACTCTAAAGAGCATGAGAAAAATGAGAATTATTTATATATAGTTCAAGGTTTTCATGCTTGCTTTATGAATTTGCTAACGAGTAGTATATGTGATGTCTATGTATGAGTGATGTAGGGCATCTTAGGTTCCAAGGTTCACTAATGCAACTTATGAATGACATGCACAACAAAACACAAGAAGCTATGATTCATAGGTTACTATTGAGCATTCCATTTTTGGGGATATCCAACCTTACGTTTAACTGTACTAAAGGGGGCCTACTGACCCAATGGAAAAGTTAAAACCATGGTTTAAAATTGCGCAATATGAGGCTCGCCTTGAGGCCCGCATTTGTGCAATTCTAGTAAAAAACGCCTCGATGCTTACGCCTCAAGTTTTTTTTATGAGGCTTGCGCCTCAACTTGGTTGAGGCCCGCCTCGCCTCACGCTATATATATATATATATATTAAAACTTACATAAATCTTGAAGTAAATGCCCGACATTGGACTCTATAGGAGAGGAGGAAGGTAGAGAGCAGTTCATCATAATGATGATTCAAATGAAGAACCCCTTAGTGATGACAGTGTTGATGACTTATGAGTTCTTATGTGGTATGTCATTGCTATTTATTTTTGGAAATTTGAATTATATGTTAATGAAAAGAATACCGGGATTTGGGAAAGATAGAATTTTGAGTTGAACTATATTTTATGTTGTCTTATTATTGGGCTATTTTGATTTCACTTAATATCTTTCTTTTTTATGTTTTATATTATTCACTCATTAGTATATAAAAATTTATCATTTTATGTTTATGCAATCTTTTGATTTTGAGGCTTATGCCTCAAAACGCCTCGAGGCTTACGCCTCACCTCACGAATGAAAAACGCCTCAATATTGGAATACACAATTTTAAACATTGGTTAAAACTCTTAACTTTAGTTTTTTTTTTTAATGTAAAATAGTAAACATGCGTATTTCATTCAAAACACTAATATTTTAGTCTCCAAAATCTAAAACCTCTTACGAAAAAAATTTCGGAGCAAATATAAAATCTAGCAATGATCAATAACCAACTAAAAATGGAATTTAATATCTTTCAAACATGAAAAAATTTCAAGAATGCATGCACAACAATCAATAAAAAAGTTAATAGAGAGAATAATGATATAAATCATCAAGCGAGAGATTCAGGCCTCACACCAGTTTATGGAGATTGTCAAGACTTGTCTAAGTGCTATGAATTCACATTCAAATAACAAACACATAAGAATTAAGAGGAAAATGAATTTTATTTCATCATATGTTGTTTAATATTTTTTCTTACAATTCTCATTCATCAAGAATGACTTGAAATATGTACTTTCTCAGAATCCTCCAAGATTTTGCTTAATTTTGCAAGTTTTCGTTCATCACTTTTGAATTTCAACTAGTATATATATCTTCAATCTTAGTTTCAACAAAAAAATTAATTTTTCAACTTTATAATTTTTGTTTTATCAATTTGTGCATTCCCCGCTATAGTTGAATATCATAAAAGAAAGGACTCATGTTATAATTCCCACTAGTACATTTTTCATATGGAGGAGTGCTTCAGCACCTACAAAGGAAAGGCCATATATAGTACTAAACGAAGGTTACAAATAGGAAAAAATCATTTAAGGATCCAACCAAAGAAAGAAGTACTAAACGAAGGTACAGTCCGGAAGGAAGGAAATCAAAAGGACCAAGGGAAATTCCTCATCATGAAGATTTGTACTATGGAAATTATAGATCTTTGAGGCTGTTGGTATAGGGTTGATGCTCAATTTAACATTAAAAAAGAGAACCGTCTGGTCATCTAAGTTACTTTATAGACAATATGTTAACTTACGCTTTAAGTGATTAGCTTTAATTCTGATACAATTAATTTCAAACACAACCAAGTCTAATTTTTCAGGTCACCAAGTTGTCAACTTCAATCATCAGACTAGTTTGGGCTCTAAAAGTATGCCCATAACTACTTTATAAACTATCAACAACAACATTGAATAGGTGGATTCTTGTCGGGATGTGACAATTTACAACTATTAGATTGTGCTTTAGTTAAACTTTCTCAAAAATACCATTAAAATTTTCAATATGTATTGATGTATCCAGCATAGTCAAATAACTTTTTTGCAGAGATTTGGTGAAATTTATTTATTTCTTGATAAGTGATGTATCTATCTTATTTCTTTCTTTCATGGGTCTCATGATGAATATTTTATGCTTTCCGCTTAATGATAATTTATCATGCGCGTATGCTAAACTTCATTTGCAGGCATTTTCAATGTTTGTTATAGCTCTTGCTATCATTTCTCCAATGGATGAAGATCTCAGTCACAACGTATCAGTAGTTGGAACTCTTATGTATGTATTTTTTGCACCATCGGTTTTTATTTTTTTATTAGATGTTCTCACAAAATTGGGCGCACTCACTTGCATGATATGACAGGATTAAAGGACTCGCTCTTGCCATTGCCATCTCATTATTATAGGCCCTCTTCAATGCTATTTATCAATCATTGGCATTAGCCTTATACTAATTACTAAGTCAGCTATATGAATCCTCATTTTTATTGATTCCAATTGAGTTCAATACAAGGTTATAGGTGAGGAGATTGGAGTGTTGCAATAAATTATAAAAGGAGAAAGACAAAGAAGATGGGTTGGGTTGGGTGGGTGGGTGAACCCTCTGTTTTCCACCTTGTTCTTCGTTGACTAAAATTGATATGGTTGTGTGAGAGAGGACGTATGTGATGCAGGAGCATGATAATACGAATGTCATTTGTTTAGTTTATGTTTAGCTTCTCATGTTTTATGCTTATGCTCTTAGTTTTCATTATATAAATTGTTAAGAACAAAACTATTGATTTCTCTAATTAGGATTTAAATTTCATTTAGTATTTTTTTTTTAGGATATGTATATCATTTGCTTGCTTGCTCATATATATATAATATTTTTTAAAACTATTCACTTGTAATTACTCTGTTCTCCTTGATGTGTCCGGATGGAACCCTCTTCAATAGTTGGTGCTATGGGCTCCCTCCTTTTTCCTTAGTTGGTGGCAAGGGCTTGCACTCTCCATACTTGTTTGCATAGGATAATCTTTAGCTTTCCCTTCTCCATTTCTTCAATGAGTTTATCGATTGCTCTTATTGTTTTATACATTTCCCTCTCATTCCCTTTCTATTTTAGAAACAACCCTAGTCTTTTCCTTATCATTTTTTGTTGCATACTTTTTTATTTTATGCCCATACTTCACTCTCATTGAATTGGATTGTGTTAGACAAAGGTAGGAGGTGAGTGCTATATTCCATATTTTTGGGTTGAATGGATAAAGATTAAATTGGGAAGGTTCGATTGTTATGAACAACTCATTATTGGAAGATGAGTCTTCAAGTTGATATTTAACCAAATTATTGAACTTCCAATCAGAATAGGTTTGTATCATTCAAACAAAAAAAACATATGCTGAATTTAAATATCACTTTGAAGAGCCTATATTCTACAAATTATAAGGGGTTGTTTGGTTGTCATTATATCGAATTTTGGTGTATTTCAAATACAATGTAAATCAAATACACTAAATTTTAATATCTTTAATGGTTTTTGGTTGATTGGAAAGCAAAATCAGCATTTTTTTTCCTTCTGATGTAAAGTAAAAAATCTAGTGCATAAACACTCTCATGCAAGGATATACTTCGTAGGTGGGAATGGGTCTTAAGTATGGGACATCAAGGTGAGTGTGAAGGTCGAGGTCGATTGTCGTTGGATGTGGGATTGGGAGGTCAAGGTCTTGCACAATGCAGAGTCGCAGAGATCACGCATCATTTGATGCAAAAGATGGAGGTCGAACTTCTCTAGATATGGAAGTGTGAAGGTTGAGGCTATTGGATATTGGAGCGGAAGTTTGCTCATTGAGGTCAAGCATCAAAGTCTCCTCCAACATGTTGCAGAAGTAGGAGGTTGCAGTTAGGTGTATGAGATCGAGTTTGCTTGCAAGAGTTGAGTGTCCTCTTGTCAGCGGAGTCCACACAGTGCAGTAGGAGGGTCAAGGTCTTTGAAGGTAAGGACGATGATATGCTGCAAGTTTGCATGAGCTGATGTATTATGAGTTTGTTCAAATTGAGCAAATTCGAAATACATGCAAATAGCCTGAATTTGGTATTCTAAATTCTTCAAAAATCTGACTTTGAAATTATTTTTAGCTAACCAAATGCCTACATTTCTAAAATTTTGTTGGAGGATCACCTTGTGTAACACACAATATCTTGAAATAGTCATACTTTTTTTGAGCTGAAAGACTATATTCACTTGCAGCCATATGTTAGACCGGTCCACTGGACCGGTCTAGCCGGTCCAGGCGGGACCGGTTCACGGGCAAAAATCGCAAACAAGCGGAGAATTCGCCTCTGGCGGAGAACGAGCGGCCCGTCCGTCCCCGTAGAGCCGTTTAGGAAGTTTTTTTTAGCGTTTTGAGAGGGAAATTTGAATGTAGGGGCTTTTTAGGGAATTCCTTTTGATTTGTATGGATTAAATAGATGTTTTTCCTAGGGTTTGGGCATCTTGAATTTGGCTGAAATTTGAGATCTCTTAGATTTAGGTTTTCTTTGGGCTCTAGCGGCGTCTAGAGGTTTGGGAGAGATCGATCCTTCTCTCGAATTAAGGATCTATTGTATCTTGCTATTTTATTCATCATCTAGTGGAATACAAGTTGTACTTTGAGTTTTCCTACAGTTTTCCTCTAATTGCCCACTGTTTTCTGCTGTTTTCCTGCTGTGGACAGCCATTTGGCTGCTGTTTGTTCGCCGATTTGGGTTAGGTTTGCTTGCGAACTCAAGTATTACCTTAGGGTTACTTGCGAACTCAAGTATTTCCTATCACCATATAAATGATAACGGGTCACCCATTTATTTTGATGCTTTGAGTAAAAAATCTTGGCTTTTTAGTTTTACTTTTTTATTATTTAATTTTAGGATTGAGAATGTTTGGTTACCCTTCTCCCAAAAAAGTAAACGCAAGCCTATATTAATAGCAAAGAAGTGGGAGAATTCTTGTGGGTATTTAAGAGAAGCATAATAAATTGCTAATTTGTGCCAAGCATATCAAAGGAGAAGTTTTGTTGCTATGATTCCATTTGTAATAAAATGATTATATCATATGTATATTTTGGCATAAAAAACATGTAAAGAGTACTTAGAACTCAAGGAATGCTCTGAGTAGTACATAAGGTCAAAAACCAAGAATTTCATGAAGCCTATGTGATGCGAACATCTGCACAAAGATCTGGCTCATATATCACAGGAGGCGTCGCAAATCGACGGCTATCATTTAAACCTTCTATTATGATTTATTTTTTTGACTTTTAGTTCTAAATTAATGTATTTTTTTTGTTTTACCCCTAGGATAGTTTGTTTGAGTGTTATGGCCCAAGGGGCAATTTTGTAATTTCGAATTTTCTCATATTGGGGCCTATAAATAAGGGCCTTAAGCTATTGTAATGATGATTATTGATAATGAAAAGTTTTATGTTCTTGTTGGTCTCTTAGTGAGTTCATGAGAGGAGAAGCCCGAGGAGGGTAACTTGCAATACCCGTCAATCTTTGGAAGAGTCCGAGGTTCGCGGTTCTTACGATCTCTTTGTGAGTTCGTTATTTATCTATATCTTTCTCGTATGTTCTTGTTCATCTCCTTCCTCCCCTCTTCATCCACCCAAGTATTCCCCTAGCTCCACCTCCTCAACCCACGGCCGACACTCCACCCAACCCCTCATATCACCGGCCCAAGCTCTAACTGCCGGCCACCTTCCACCTCCTTCTCCCCATTGAAATCCTTGCCTAATTTGGGGTGCATGATATTAGGGCTTAATTTGAAATTCTAATTTCTTTCCTAATTTAGTCCACCTATTTTGGAAAGTGTTTAATTCCATTCAATTGAAATTTAAATTCAAAATCCGATTTATTGGCTCCATTTCATAACTCCCAAATTCAAATCTATGAGCATTAAATTCCCTAATTCTCTCCACATCCCGTCAACTTTCTTACAGGCTTGCTGAATTGAAATCTTGGAAATAAAATTTCCCCACTTATTACTCAATCCCGCCAGCCCCTCCATCCCCCTTGGCTTAAATCCTTAATTACTTCCTAATTCCCATCATTGTTTAAGGAAAACAATTGCAATTTCCCTTAATCTCAGCCTAGCCGAGATTTCCTGTCACCCGTCTCTCCCCTAATTCTAAGCCCATACTTTTGGAAACTATCTCAATTCCCGTCATCTCCATCTGGCCGAATTTTCTCATCAGTTATTGGATACAGAATCCATGAAATTGCTTTCATTACTTTCCAAAACTGATAGTTTACCTTGGCCGAATTCCCTCTCTTATCCCTGGAATTTATTTCCTATTCTATTTTCCCTAATTCACTTCACGGATGCAAGGAATTGAATTCCCTCAGCCTGCCTTGGATCCCGCCGCCCCTTCTCCTCCCTCTCTCCCAATTCTCCTCTCCACCTCCACTTCCCTATTGGATTTGATTTTCCACTCTTCTTACTTCAAGGCCTTCTCCTCTAAACAACAAAACTGAAGTTTTTCCCCCATAATTCCCTCTAGAAATCTGAAGGCAACTTGGAATTCGTTTCTCAGATTTTGGGAAACAAATCTGAACTGTTTCAGATTTCCTGAAGGATTTGTTTCAGATTATTACCATCGATTCTCCTGCTCTCCTAAGCCTGCAGTCAGAAAAATTCCTGCAGTTATCCATTCATTAGCTAAGCCTCTTTTTCCGTTCTACATCACTATGGTAGATAGAGCTCAATTCCTATAATGGAAAAAATTTGAAGAGCATTCAGAACCAAAAAATGAGAGATGCCTAAGTAAAACAATGAGTGTCCAAGTATTGTTTGAACAGGCACTATTCTAAGAATCTTAACCAAACAAACAAATAAAATTTTGACGCCTGACCATCTAGTAATAAACCCCAAAAAATAAAAATGCACTATCAGTTTAATAATTCACAAAACACCCAACTAGCCTTCTCATTACATGTAATAATCCTTGAGTTTGGTTGGAATATGCATTTCCTGCTTTGGTTGTTCATATTGTAGTTGCTAACTTATTGTTATACCCAGTGGGTTTCGATATAGTCCTATCAAATTACCTAATCTTTATTAATATTTCTTATATCTCACCAACTTTTATTTTTTCTTGATCCTATCCTCTTCATACTTAAAATTTACTACAAACTGAAGTTTTTTGCCTATGTTTTATCCAATTTGGTTCCTATTGTACAATCTAATATTTCCAACCCTTGATGCTCCTTTCAACTCCATGCAAAATTTTCATTATAAAAATTGACTTAATTTTAGCATTTCAAAATATTTGCTCTCATCTCACTAATCAAAAGTAAGGAGTTTTCCTCATTACTTGATGCCTTAGAGCATCACACTAACCAGACAACGACTTGGTGAACACCTATGAGGTGTGCAAGCTGCTAATATCTCGTGTATACTCTCCCCAGTGCCTATGTAAGCATTTGAATCGCTTTAATAGCTTCGACTCCAAAGTTACCACCCCACTTACCCGCTCATTCATATCCTATTTAAATATCAATTTTAAAACTTTACTCCTGCAAGTAGATGTCACAAAAAATCCAATTGTAAGAGAGAATGGCTCCACATGATATATTAGCTTATATGCCTATACTCCCTTGCTCAGATGATGTTTTCTCCCCTCAATTGTTATGGGTCATATTATATGCTAGAATGCTCTTCATCAACATGATTTTAGAAACTTCATTTTATGCAAAACTAGAATGAAATTTTCTCATCAATGTGTAGGTACATATTCTCATTCGCGATTGGTGCAGGCCCTGTTACTGGCTTAGTAATTCCAGAATTAAGCAGTGCTCAAATGCGTTCAAAAATTATGGGCTTCAGCTTCTCTATACATTGGGTATGTTTTGAACAAAAGTTTTTGAGTATTTTAGTTAAATCTCAATGTTAGATTCATACTTGTTATATTAGTTTAGTGTTCATTTTTTTAATCCCTACGTTTGTTTGCTTTTATTTTTTTTTAATATTGAGATTTTATAACAAATCAGTGTAAAAGTTTCAAGATATTGCAATTGCATATATATATATATATATATATCAGATAAAAGTAATATGAAGCATAGCGAGTAATGTCTATCTTAAAGGAAATACCAACATTTAGTCACAAACCATGTTCAAATGACCTCCACTTAGATTAATCAATTATAACATTAGTGGATATAGCTATGATATTACATGGAGAAGAAATAAGCATGAGTGACTATGAGATCTTCAATAGGCAACCAATTATCTAATTTAGACATCGCTCTAAACCAATCAAAAGACCGACCTCCAAAATTAGAGGAATAGGGGGATGTTATCAACTAACAAATCATCAGTAACAAGTGAAGGCACTAACTCAAAGATGAATTTAGGAATATTAAGGTCATGAGAACACCCTAAGGGGATTTAGTTGAATTAAGGTCATGAGAACACCCTAAGGGGATTTAGTTGAAGGGAAAACACCCAACTTGTTGGTAGACTCCATATGATCATGATTATTTATAATATAAATATCTTGATTGTCCATATAGTGATCAAAAGAGCCAATCCTAGTAGAAGGAAACCTGGAAGATAATTTTCTTAATATAAATAATTCGTAAAGTCATGTCCAAAATTTTTTGCAAGATTTGTAATATGAGGGGAAGCCTCTAACTTTTGCTTTTTTTGCTAATAATCACAAGAAGTGTCAATTCATACCTCTCGAGTCAAAGTGGTAGAAATGTACATCTCAATAAGAACATGAGTCACTCACAGTCAAGAGAATCTAGTGATAGTAGTATTCACTCGTAATGATTTGTCAAAAATTGAATCTACTGAATATATTGTGGGTTTGTTGATGTAGTGGATCTTGAGATAAGGAAAAATAACCCAAACAGGGATAACAATGGGCTCCTCATAAGTATCAAATAAAGGATATAGTCCATTCACATAATATGAACACTGAAAAATCTACAATAATTTTATTCAAAGATAGTCTGATAAATTTGTGTCACCTATCAAGAAGTCCAATAGAGTAGTGACCTAGCAATAAAGATCAAAAGGTTTAAGTAATCTCCATATTCAGGTGACCAAATGAAAAGTTTTGAACCAAAGTGTAGAAAAAACTGAGAGAAACAATGAGGAAATCCACTAATAGATGAAAGAAAACAACAACGGTACAAGTTTCTTCAATTTGAGAGGAAGAAACAGCTCTCCAAATCTCTAGCCAAGCTTAGAGCCCAAGAACACAAACCCTAGATCTCAAATTGCTTGTCAAATTCAAGATAACCCCAACCCTAGCCAAAAAGGAGAATACTTACACAATACAATTATTCAATGTTCAATCCCTAAACAGCCCTACACATTTGAATTCCCCCTGCCCCCCACCCCAAAAAACAAAAAAAAACCCAAGCTCCCATCAATGCTTGGGCCCCACCCATGTGCTGCCCTCCCTTCCCATTTCAGCCCCCCTTAGGGCCCGCCTCCTATAGCAAACCGGTCCAATTAGGACCGGTTTAGGTTGGCCCCTAACACATTGTCAGCAAAGGAGAAAGAGGGAGCCGATGACCTTTGGAGGCTACACACCTACATTTAAAGAGATTCAGCATGAGCAAGCATGAAGACAATCACCAACCACTAGGCCATACAAAGATGTGGCAAGTAGGAATGGATAAAGGCAATGACAAGGGAAACAATATTCACCGAAAAGCCCTAGATGTAAGAATTGATGGCTTCACCTGAGAAGATAATGGTTGAGGAGGAGAAACAGTAGGGAAAAGTTCCAAATCAACTAGCTTTTTTTTAAGTGGCTTTAACAGTTAGCTGAAAGTAGGTAATATTCTACATGCGGAGCTAACCTCCACGATAACGATGAGGTCTTGCCCAAGAGAGATTATTCTGCGTGGACACTAGATGGGAGAACCATCCGGTTTCGTGCTCGGTATCGAGCACGGTACATTTTTGTGGGCAATGTGGCGCATTTTTATTGATCTCTGGACGAATCCTGACCTGCACGTACTAATTTTTCATTTCCCAAGCCTTACCCTCTTTGACTATTTTGATTATTGCAGATCTTTAACTTCTTGGTGGGACTGTATTTCCTGGAACTAGTGGAGAAATTTGGAGTAGCACCTGTATATGGTGCGTTTGGCGCTGTTTCCATCTGTTCAGCAATATTTGCTGCATATTTCATTGTTGAAACAAAGGGACGTTCACTCGAGGAAATTGAGATGTCCGTTACTTCCAGTATGCCAAGCAGTGACCAGCGATAGTGACCACAATTACTACTAGAATAGCTAACAGTTTTACTTGGGCTTCATGATTTATTGGCTTCGCAAAGAATCAAAGGAAACGGTAATTTCCATTCTATAGCATCTTCAAGTTGTATATGTTCTAATGAACTTTTTTCCAATATTATGCTACCATATCGTGGTTTCTTTCAGTTATGGCCAGTTTTCTGAAATCAAATCAAAGCTCTGGAACAAATTGCTGATCTGAAAGCAGATGAATTGTAATGATCTCAAATTCCCTTTTTTTTTCTTTTGTTTCTTTTTTGTTGTTTTGGATAGTGTTGATATTTTATGTAGGTAATTATTTTGAGAGAGATACTTTTATATCATATTGTTGAGAAGTTAATCTTTTTATTTATATCCTCTTTTGCAACCTTTCGTATGCCTTTATTTATAGGCCTAATCTTATCTTAAAATTTTATAACATGTATCAAAAAGCTAAACCCTACCTGCCTTTTCTCTTTGTTCCCTATGCATGCTACCAGCTAGCGCCAAATCCCATGCATGTCAACGGCTCACATCTCTCTTATACGACAAATTATTACGTGCAGTGTCCGGACCGTGCGGAGGCGAAACCGGATGTGCCACGTCACTCGGACGCACCGGGGTCGGGGTGACGTGGCGCGTCCGGATTCACCTCCGAACGAATCCGGGCACCGCACATAATAGTTTGCCATCTTATACACAAACAAGCGATTCTAATCTTCATTCTGGTCTATTAACCCAATTACGGCTTTCTCTCCACTCCTTAAGCACTTCATATCCTAAGGTTTTGATAGATTTCATATTGCTTTTTAAAACAGTTTTTTAAGTACAAAAATTATATGTTAGTATGTTAACTTAAAATAATTGTTATTTATATTTTAAATTATAAATAAGTTTTAAATATCTTCATCAAAGCTTTAAAACACTTAAGAATTTCTCTTTTATGTATCAAGTCGAAGCTAATAAATATATATATTCCAATGTTATTAGGAGTGTTGACATATTAGATTGATAATCATATTGAAATATGGGAGGCTCTTTATTTATTTATTTTTTATTTAGGCACGTAATTAAGGTTCTAATAATCTATGATTGACTGCATAATTAAATATCACAGGAAGCTTTTAATGGGCAAATTTTGTAGTTTAGTTGGCCCCATTGTGGGCCTAATGCGGGCCTATCAAATTCTGAGACCCTAGCAGCCCTATTAAGTCCAAGATGGTATCACAGGTCCTAAAAATAGCATGGATAGTTTTTTTTTTTTCCTTTTTTTTTTTTGCAATAGCCGTTTGGCAATCTACACTGGAGAGATTTTGATATTTTTGATGGATATTAAATTATCTTAAATTTCCATAAATTTGAAGATATAATATTAATTTCGCAATTAAATTTTATAAATGAACAAACTGTTGCAATATAATTTATTTTTCATTTATATATTTTTTCACACAAGTTAAAATTTGGATAACACAAATTAATTCATTTAAAAAAAATTTAAAAATAAATTATCCAATGAGGTCTACTCTTTCTTAATCATATATAATTAAAAATGGACACTGCCTTATTTATGCTGCTCTTAATTTCCAATCCTTGAGAATTTTTAAAATCCACAAAGCAGACTAATAATGATTATGACAGCCATAAATATACTTAAACTGTCTTAAACAACCATAATCAGATCATCACATAGGGCCAGTTTCATATCATCCCAAAGTTATGAAGCATCACATGCTTTATTAATCATTGCATTAAATGACTAATGAAGCTCCATTATCTAATTAATATTACTTATTATTAGTCTGCTCTCCTTTTGATAATTGGCTTCCCCTCACCTCCCTCACCCACCAGCCAATACAGCTTTACTTTGCATATATTAAGCAGTGGGCAGCAAAAGTAAAGATGATTGAACTAAAACTAAACCAATCGCAAAGTTTCACTTTCCTCTTTGTGAAATGCATCAGAACAGATCAATTGCAGCTTCATCTTTGGAGTGCGACCTCCTCATAGTATGCAGAATTTCATGGGGAGGTGGCAACGGCACAAGACATTAGCGGAGCTTCGAACAAAGACGAAGAGTTCTTGTGGAGCCCTGTGCTGTAGCTGTTGCAGTGGCCTCAGCTCCAGACTTAGTGTTTCTTCTTCTTCTTCTTCTGCATCTTCGTATGATATTGTTAGTTCTGGCACTGAACCATTACAGACTTTATCAAGCCTTGCACATGCCATGGTGCAAGAGAGGCTTTCGAGGATGATTGATGAGGAGAGAAGAAGGGTGGGTGACGGTGGGCGGCGGTGGCGACGGCAAGGCCAAGGATGTATTGGCGCAGGCAAAGTGATCATATTGGTGGCCATGGATAAGAGTTCTTTTGAGCCAAGGAGGGATTTCAAGGACTCCATGATGGAGGTTATTACCTCAAAAGGATTGGAAGAGCCAAAGGAATTGAGGAGCTTATTGAACTGTTACATCTCCATGAATCCAAGAGAGCAAAGGCAGGCAATTCTTGAGGCTTTTCATGAGGTTTGCACTGCCATGTTTTCTTGTAGGTGGTGATCAAAAGCTGAATGAACATTGTTGTAATAATATTCCTGTGTCATCGATCTGATATCAATACATACAAATTACTAATTTATGGATGGCTTTGCAGCACCTTATGCTTGATTGGTTTGGTAATTCTCTTCACCTATTTTGATTGTTTTTCTTTTGATGAGAGGATTTATATGTCTATTAGAGCTTATGAGGAAAACTTGTAATATAAAAGTTATACTGCATACAATTCTCTATAACATCTTAATTTGTTAAGAAAATTATTCATCTCTATGAGAGTAGCATTGATTTTATTTCACAAAAAATGGCAGTACACAATCTTCAAATAAATTATGGTGTGTTCATTATTCTCTCTATGTTGTTTATGGATGACCTGTGAATAGGGTTGCAAATGTGAATAGGGTTGCAAATGAATTACAAATGCTTTCTTGTTTGAGCTTATTTATTTATTTTCTTATTGATTTTGAGTTTCTTGTGAATATGACTTGAGTTTTTAAGGCTTCGTTTCGGATAATTTTCTTACTGTTTCTTAAAATAATTTTTTAGTACAAAAATTAAAATATTTGTGCTTAAAATCTATTTTAAGAAGTAGTAAGAAATCCATCTTAAACAAAGCCTAAATTTTATTAAAGCTTATTTATTACTAAGTCAAAATGGAATCTAATTAATTATAAATTTATTGATAATAATTTAAATATATATATTAACTGTTTGATGTAAATGAATTTACGAGTTTAATTAAGATTGACATAATTCACTAAGTATCATTTATGTTGTTTGATATTTTTTAAATTTAAAAAAAAAATCATTTTTGTCTATATATTTAACTATTTGCTTGATATTTATATTATATTTAAACCATAAATAATATGCACAATTTTATGTGAAAATACAATAAATTATCAAAAAGGTGAACTAAGTATTTTATTGAGCTCAGCTTGTGGAATAATAAATGAGCATCCTCATGAATATAAATAAATAAGTGGTTCAATATTCAACATTTTTTATTTATAAATTGAGTTAAATTAAATAGACATTTCTTTTTTGGCTATTTTCATTTAGGGGAATCTGAAGAATGCCTAAGACATAGCATTTATATAATGATAATTAAATAGACATTTATAGAGTTTTTTTTTTTTATAAATGAAAATGCAGTTCCTCTCAGATATTACTTTAATTCTAATGAAGCTCGAGGTCTTAAAAAATGGCCAATGTTCTTCCTAAAATAGTACAATTAATCAAATTAAGTGTTGGAGCTAAATTTTTCTATTGGTGATACTCGATCTTACTAGCAGGCGAGCTTTAAGGATAAACCTAAGAACCTATGTAAAAATGGAGGGAAAGAGAGGGCAAAATGTTGTTGGAAACTGAAAGCCAGAACCTTCATAGATGAATGCGTTTATGTAGCTATGATAATGAGCATGATTGGTGATGGACCACCATAGATAGTGACGAGTGGCTTCAATTGATATTTCTTGTTAGAAGACAAGTGATGAATTGAGTGGTCGGTGAGGACCCTTAACTATCCATTTGAGAGGTGACTCCTCTATGGGTGTCTTGCCGAGTGAGGTTACGGCAACCCCTAGGCGAGTTCCTTTTGTGGGTTCATAGAATTCATCTGCTATGGCAAGTTGACTATCTTTTAAATACCTAAAAAGGCATACTCTAGTATCCATTAAGACTTAGAAATTACAAAAAAAAAAAAAACTTAGAAATTACACGCCGGACATCGATCACCATCTTTATTGAGCTTTATTCCGCATTTATTTTATTTAATTGTATGTAGTTATTTTACACTCATCCAAATAACTTTAAATATTTTAAATACACTATATTTTTTAATTCTTTTTTCATTTAACCACATGGCCCCTAACTAATTACAATGATATGCCATTGGTTCCTTTATGAGATCATACCGATTTTGTTTTAACTGAGTGGTTAACTTGCAAGGACCCAATTTGATGAGTCAGAGTTTCTTTCTTTTGAGGACTTCCATGACTGGAAGTCTGGAATTATATATATATACCGCGAGGATCGCGTGTCCTTGGACCTGAAGCATCGTCCGGTCTGAAAGCTTCGAAATAGGAATCGAAGAGGCCGATGGTCTTTGGAACCCATCGAACAGCGAAAGAGAAGGGCGCAAGGCTGTGCGATGCCAACCATCGCCAGCTTGGAGGAGAAGGAGCCTCGTCCATCTTTCTCTCTTAGCTCCTTCTCCTCTGCCTCCACCAGCGTCTACATTCCGCGCCGCCGAAGCTTCTCTTATTGCCGCCTCCCCGTCCACCTCCTTAAGCTTACGGTACTCAAATTGGACGGTTCCTCCTTTGGTATGACAAATTTGATTGTTGATTTCTCCGTTTTTTTAATTTTTTGTTATATAGATGATTTGAACCTTATCCCGCTACAGATGTGCAGGTGGCCAGGACGGCTTCGGTGCGGGAGCTCAAGATGGCGGTGGAAGAGGTTTTCGACCAGTACCATATGGACAGGACAATGGAGAGCATCTCATGGTAGTGTTTGAGTGTCCTTGGCCGAGCAAATTCATCCGCAGTTTATCCCTGGACTTAATGTCGAATCTTGTGCAGGGCTCATGTATGGGGTCAATTCTGCTTGTCATTTCGCGGGATTAAGCTGATTGACGAGAAAGCTCTGATCAAGGGCTTTGGTATCAAAGACAGCGATCAGGTTTCCCTACTATTCTTCTTGCATTTTGTATTTGAAACTCCGGCTTTCGAATTGGGCACTTGTGAAGTATTCGCTTAAAATCATGAATGAAAACCAGTCTTCTCGGATTTTAGGGCCCAGTTTGAATTTGCTACTTGTGAATTGTTTGATTTAATACTATCTTTTCTAACCAGTATAGTATTGTAACTTAGGCCTATATTGGAATTTTACACTTGTTAAGTGTTAGCTATAAGTTACGTTTCGAACTAAAGCTATGCTCTTTGATGCCTTACTCAGTTTTGAATTTCACCATTAATTCATCTTTTATTCATGTAAATGGTGAATGAGGCCGTTGCTTGGAGTCTGAAATGTCTTTAATCATGGTCTCGTTATCATGCGCTGAGCTACTGAAATTCTGAAGCCTTGGAGTAAAGGTTAAAGTTGAAATTATGTTGTTGGATTGGGTAATTTTTCTTCAATAAGCATTAAACCGTCAATTGTTCTATTTTTATTCTAATTTTATTAACATAGAACATCAAACATGAGGGGCATTTGAAATTTTTGACAAGGGGTTGTATGGCTTTCCAAACTAGCTCTCTGGTGTTTGTAAAAGGAACTTCAGAATATATCCTTAGAAGGAAAAGTGGGATATATTACCATATTTCAGCCTTTAATTGCATGGTTTGATATAATTTTGGGGGTTCAAGCATTTCTATGCATGTGAACCTGTAAGGTCGGCCCAAGAGGGGCCAGCTATTCCTTTTGAACTGGTCCCTAGTGTACCGGTTTTCTACTACAGCCGCCGGCCTAAGGAAGGGAGAGAGAAGGGGCCAGCTGCTCCTATAGGACCCACACCTTGATTAAAAATTTCTTTGGAGGAAATATTTGAATTAGGGGCTGTTTTGGGATTTTATAACTCTCCTTTGACTTTAATTAGTTGCTAATCTTAGAATTAGGGTTTCATGTTGAATTTGAATATGAAATTTGAGATATTCCTTGTGCTTGGGCTCTAGTCGCTTGGCTAGGGATTTGGAGAGTTGTTTCTTCCTCTCTAATTGAAGAAACTTATGTTGTTTGCTATTTTTCTTCGTTTGCTAGTGGAATCCATCATTTTCCTCTCTGATTTCTATAGTTTTTTTCTCAAGTTGCTGCTGTCCTATTGTTGTTTTGGCTTCAGAAAATAGCAGATTTTCTGTTGGAGGTGACTATCTCCTAAGAAATTGGTATTAGAGCCCGTCGATCCAAGGGTTATCAATGGCTGGAAGGAAAGTTGAAGTCTTGAGGGAGAATTTGGACAACTAAAGTCAGATTTCGAGGAGAAAACTTCTGATTTTTAGAAGCAGTTTGCATCCATCCATGAAAAGATGGATGGAAGGTTCGCCGCCTTGGAAGACATGATGAAGATGATTAGAAGTGTCAATATTTGACACGACCCGAAAACCTGAATCGAACCCGACCCGAAAATTTCGGGTTAGGGTCAACCCGAACTCGAAACGGGTCGGGTTCGGGTTAACCCTTTGACCCGATTTTGACCTGAAAACCTGATTTTGACCCGGCAACCCGAGATTGACCCGATTTTGACCCGAAAAGAGGAGATTGACCCATTTTTACCTGAAAATTAGCAATTTTTTTGTTGAAAATGGGTCATTCGGGTCAGGTCGGGTTGACACGGACCTGAAGCGAGTCGGGTTGAGGTCTGGAAAACCGACCCGTTTTTAAAAACGGGTCGGGTTCGGATTGACCTGAATAGTGCCGGGTCAGTTTCAGGTTTGACCCGAACCCGACCCGTGACCCGAAATTGACACCCCTAAAGATGATGCTTGAAGACATACAAAATCTGGCGACATCGGAAGCCAAGGAGACAACCAGCGGTCATGAGAGAGGAGGAAATCCGAACCCTTTTATGGGGAGGAAAAAATCCAAAAGTGGAGATCCTTGAGGGAGATAACGGAATGCCTGCTCTAGAACCACTTTCTAGGGAGGAGATGAGTATGGGCTACGAAAGGAGGGTTGCTGATTTTGTTGGGAAAAGAAAAGAATTCTACCGCTGAGGTGCTAATTTTGGAAGAAGAATAAGAGAATACGATGAAGGGTTAGGGAATGATCACCGGAGAGAAGATCGTGACAATTGGGGAGCACCTCCTCTTCGAGGAATGAGAGTTTATGGAAGATTTAGGAAACGAGGGTGATCTAAATGTGAGGAAATTGAAGAAGTTCATTTTTGAGGGTGAGGATGGCCATGGCTGGAACTACAAGGTGGAGTATTATTTTGTTATAAACGGGTTAACAGAATAAGAGAAGCTAACAACAACAGGACTGTGTTTGGAGGGTAAGGCACTGACATGGTTCCAATGGCGAGACATGTGACAGCATATTCAAAGTTGGAGGGAGTTCAAAGATTGTTTACTAGAACGTTTCTGAGCTGATAGGGGAGGAAACGTCTATGAGTAATTCTTTGCCCTGACATAGGAGGGGATCGTGACAAGTTCAAGCATCTGACCAGCAGACTTGATCGGATCTCAGAGACAATACTAGAGAGAAATTTTATGAAGTGGCTTAAAGCGGAGATTCTGACAGTAGTTAGGGTGATGAGGCCGCGAGACCTGTGAGAGGTCATGGAACTAGCACAGTTGGTGGAGGACCAGAAGCATCTGGAGAGGGGGGCTAGAGGGAGCAACTCAGGAGGGTCATACAGAATGACCACTACCTTCCTAGCTCCTAAGGGACCTGCTCCCGGGAGTATGAGGGAAGTGCCCAAGGAGAAAGCTGGAGGAGGGGGAAATATGGGAAATTTCAAAAGGCTGACGGAAAGGTGATACAAGAGAGGAGGACAAAGGGGTTGTGTTTTAGATGTGATGAGAAATATATGCTGGGGCATAGGTGTAAGAATCGAACTCTTCAGGTTCTCACCATCTGTGATGACGAGGAAGTTGAAAAGGGAGGTGAGAGTGGGTTAGAGGTGGAGGAAGAGGAGAAGTTGCACCTAGATGTAGCAGAAGTCTATTTAAACTCTATGGTTGGATTCACCCCAAATCACACCATGAAAGTAAAAGGAGAGATAGCGGAGAGAGAGGTGATGGTATTGATAGACGGTGGGACAACCCACAATTTCATCTCCACCCAGATTGTTGATCTGCTGGGGGTGAAATTAGTGGATACCGAGGGCTATGGGGTGATGATGGGCACGAGAAAGGTGGAGATGGGGAGAGGAGTTTGTAGGGGAGTGGTGCTGACCATTCATGGGATACAGGTGAGGGAGGATTTTCTTCCCTTGGAGTTAGGAAGCACTGATGTCATCTTGGGGATGAAGTGGCTACAAACCTTGAGAGATACTAAGGTCAATAATTGGGGAACACTGAGGATGGAACTAGTGGTTGGGGGAAAGATAATGGTGATTTAGGGTGATGCAGGACTGTCTAAGACTGCGGTATCTCTTAAATCCTTGATCAGGACCATAGAGGAGGTGGGAGGAGGATATTTGATGGAGTTGCATTGCTTGGAGGGGGTTAGACTAGAGGAGGAGGGAGATATTCCCTCTTAGTGCAACCACTCATACAACATTACATCGAGATTTTTCAACCTCCCTAGGGCCTACCACCACAAAGGGAGTTGGAGCATGTCATTACTTTGAAGGAAGGGGTGTCGCTGATCAGTGTTCATCCCTATCGCTATCCTCATATTCAGTAGGATGAGATTGAGAAGTTGATCCTTGAAATGCTGGAGACTAGGATCATCAGGCCGAGTGTGAGTCTTTTTTCTAGTCCAATCCTACTGGTCAAGAAGAATGATGGGAGTTGGCAGTTCTCTGTGGACTACAGGGCTTTGAACAAGGGGACATTGCCAGATAAGTTCCCAATTTCTGTGATTGATGAGCTCTCGGGTGAATTGTATGGGGCAGTCATGTTTTTCAAGATGGATTTGAAATCAGGGTACCATCAAATTAGAATTAGGAAGGCATACATTTCAAAGATAGCTTTCAGAACACATGAAGGGCATTATAAGTTTCTGGTAATGTCGTTTGGACTTACTAACGCCCCTGCTACTTTTCAATCTTTGATGAACAAGGTATTCAGATAGTACCTTAGGAAGGTTGTTCTTGTGTTTTTTGATGACATCCTGGTGTACAACAAAACTGAGGAGGAGCATCTGGAGCACTTGAAGGTGATTCTGGGAGTTTTATATGAGCATCAACTGAGGGCCAACCTAAAAAAAATGCAACTTTGCCTAGTCTAGCATGGACTACTTGGGACATGTCTTGTCCTAGGAGCGAGTGGCGGACGATCAAATAAAAATTAAGGCAATGCAGAAATGACCTATGCTTAGGAACATAAGGGAGTTGAGGGGTTTCCTAGGATTGACTGGCTACTATAAGGGATTTGTGAGAGGGTATAGTACCATAGCTTGGCCATTGACTGAGCAACGGAAGGACAAATTTTTGTAAGGAGAGGCAGCGACTCAGGCCTTTGAGAAATTGAAGAAAGCCGTGACTACATTTCCAGTTTTAGCTCTTCCGGACTTCAGCCAGATCTTTGTAGTAGCGACTGATGCATCCGGATATGGGTTGGGAGTAGTACTGATGCAGAATCACAAACCTATAACATACTTTAATCAAGTGTTGTCAACCAGGGCTAGATTGAAGTCGGTGTATGAGAGAGCTGATGGCCATTGTCTTGGCTATTCGAAAGTGGCGCCCTTACCTTTTAGAAAGGCATTTTATTATCCGGACGGATAAGAGGAACTTGAAGTACCTGTTGGAGCAAAGGATGGTGACCGAGGAGCATCATAGATGATTGTCAAAATTATTTGGCTATAATTTTGAGATCCATTATAGGGTTGGTTTGAAAAATAAAGTGATTGATGCCTTATCCAAATGTGTTGGGGAACTTCAGGAGTTGGCTATTTCAGTACAACTGATGGTAGACTAGGGGTCATCAAGGAAGAAAGCATGCAAAATAAATAGTTGAAAAAGAGTAGAGAGAATTTGATGAAGGATTATAGTAGCCATCTTGATTACTATATTGAGGGGGAGAGGTTGTTGCATCAAGGGAGATTTATAATACCACGAACTTCCATACATATCCCTCACTTGCTAGTTTAGATTGATTGGTTGTTAACTTAATTTTTGCACTATATGATGTGATTAATGGGCGTTAGATTTACCCCTATGTTAGGGACGATTTATTTGTTAATTAAATCTTATGCAGGTGGTCATGCTCATACATGACATTTAAAATAAAAAAGGCAAAAATCATAAATATTAAATTGATACAGATGCTCACTGCGCTAAGTCTCCTTTTAAATTAAAAAGAGCATGATCAAGTTTGACTGTGATTTGAGTATTTAAATTTTTTTATTAATATTAACTTCTTATGATGTTAATTTAAATGTTGATTGTTTAGGATAACCATACAGGTTGTTCGAATCCATATTTTCTATTTCATTTTTTAAATGTAATTCAATGTATTGGAGTCCAAAGTTGTAAATATCAAAGTGACATTGAGATGAGATATATATCCAATTTGGAACTCAAAGAGGAATGAATATCTCTTAGGGGAGAGTTCCTATCTATTAGGAGATCCAAATTAGGATGACTTTAAAATATCCACAGGGAAAAGATAGCACTCCTTTGAGGGGAAGTTTCTTTTCATTTGGATATCTGAACCCGATTATCCAAGAAGGCCACAGAAGGGCGAAGAAGTGAAGAATGAGAAGACCCTTTCTCAAAAATCACTTGTCAAAAATCACTTGAGTTTTAGGAATATAATTCGAGTTGTTGTTAGTGGTACTCGGTCACTTTACTTTTTTTTTAGACCTTGACATGTATTATTAAGTGGCACTTGCCACATGGACATTTAGTTTGAGTATTTAATTGAATTGATTTATTTAATTGGTTGTGCAGTAGAAATGACATATTTTTTAGTCTTTTTATTTGCATGTCAATTTTGATTTAGCATGGAACCCAATCTAAGGCTCGTGAGTGTACAAATAAAATTTAATCAAATTTAAAATATTTAAGCTCACATGAAAATTCTAATGATCTTAAGAAGTAAGCCCGAGACCACCAGAGTTTGCATAACATCTTGTTGTAACTTATTTCCTTTGTTAGGCACCTCCATTCCTGCAGGTTTTGGCAAACCACCTGGCCGATGAGGGTGCAGATCTGTTAAGGGGAATCTGTGTAATATCTAGGATAAAATCTATTTTTAAGTCTTTTTTTAAATTGTGTCATTCAAATTTAAGCATTGATCGAGTCAACTAGCATGCATTGCATTAGAAACAAATTTAAACAAGTCTAAAATTTAATTGCATTTTACTTTAAGTTTGATATTGCCCAACATAAGTCAAGGGGCTAATTAGGAATCTGCTTTAGATGTCGGCCTCTACTCTTTAAACTTAACTTAATACAATGTCCCTATCTACTCTTTCATATAAGACTGGATACATGATTTTAAAGCGACTAGGTGGTTAGCAGGCTCCCAAATTCAAGCCGGGTTAAGTCCATATCCTGCATTGCATTAGCTAGGTTCACGTCACTATTTTTAGTACCCAATTTAAACATAGGTTCTGAAGCAGGTTTACACTATAAGATCTCAACCTTCTGGGAATATAATCTTAACCTTCTAATAAATTTGACAACTTAAACTTAAATATTCTTGAATTCAAATTCAAGTCCAACACTTAGGATAGAGTGAGGCACTTCTGAATTGTTTCAGAATCTCAGGTGCATCCTTCCCTTCTTCATTTGATTCCAGAAATAAGTAATTAACTTTGATCCATTTCCTATTGAATTTCCAATCCTCGCCTTCTTTGATATCAAACTTTGAATTATAAATTAAATTTCTACTACTATTTTAATCGAGAGTATTCGCAGGAAACCTTGGTTTCCCTACGATGTAATTAACTACGAAATCTTGAGCTCGTATAAGATTTAGAAACCCAGATCAAATTTTTAAAAATTAAGTTTTTTTTTCAAAAAATTCAATTAATTATCTTTGGGAAAATCAAATTCGACGATTATTATCGTCATATTCAAATGATTGATAGTAAACGATATCTTTTTTCTCTGGGAAGATATATCATTCTATTATCATAATTTTGATTATGAAATTAATGATCCCTTTGTTCAGATTAACATAGTCAAACATTCGATCAAATTTTATTTTTACCCCTCCAGGGTCATATGTGATTCTTCCCTAAGTTTGACTACAATAATCATGATGAATTCAAAGTTTTGTAAACCGAACCTACCTCCCGAGGCGATATATTATTTATAATGAAGTGTTCAATTTCAAAATTAAAATTCTAGCAATTAAATTCTCCGAAAAAAAATAATCTTTTTCAAAACTCCAACAAATGCACTTTTTAAATCAAACAGTCCCCTACCCCTTTAGCGGTCAAACAATTATCTATTAATAGATCTTCATAGTCAAATTTCATTTTGATAGTTCAATTGATCAATACAAAGCTTCGTTGTGCCAAAGGATCCACTCAGATCTATTGGATATACTATTTCAATGAGTTATCCCCAATCACTGTGCTTAACTCTATCTATCAATGACCATCAATCAAAGGTGGACAGACTCCTCCACAAATGGTTGCGAGTAATGCCTTCCTTGTGGTAATCTTTAGGAGCTGATTTACACAGAACAACCTTCTAGGCATGTTGCTTAGGGGGGAATTCTTTATTTACTCGGGAAGGCTATCTATGGCCTTAAACAAAATCCACATGCTTGGTTAGACAAATTTTATATGTTTTTTGTTGACATTGACCTTCCCAATAACCCCACAAGCCTTTTAATCTTTATTCAGTGTGCTATCATTCATGTTGTTTATATTGATGGCATCTTGTTCACTGGGAGTGATCATAATGGCATGTTTAGAGTAAAAAACTACGTACAAAAGTACTTAATATCAAAGATTTGTGACACCCATGTATTTTCATGGAGTTGAATTTGCTTACAAAAAAAAGGATATTTCTATTTCAAAGAAATTACACTACTAATTTTCTCTTAGAAATTGGCTTGTTGTCAGCTGATACCCCTATGGAGACTTTTAGATCACAAACGATAACAAAGTTTTATGGAATCATCTTAGTATCAAAAGTTAGTTGTCTAGTTGATTTGTTTGATTGTTGTCAGACATGATTTCTCATTGTCATTAGGGATTTTAGCCAAAACATACAAAATCATGACTCTTAATAGGGCACAATGGAGAAAAAAAGATTCATGTAGCCGACCCCACATAATGGGATAAAGACTTGATGATGTTGTTGTTGTATGCAAAATCTAAAACAAAAGCAATGGGAATTGTTCTACATATAAAAGGGGTTCGGGAAAAGGTTTCTGTATGCTAAAATTGAGCTTGTGAATACTAAAGCTTTCCCTCTTGTTGATTATTTTGTCTCCGTTGAAGACAAAAAATCCACTTCAGGATATTATATCTTCATTGGAGGAAATCTCGTCTCCTAGAACAGTGAAAAATAACTGGCCAGGTCTAGTGTAAGGATTGATCACATCACTATGACACACCAAGTGAAATGATGTGATTTAAAGCTCTTTTAATAGGGTTTGCATTTCTGTTACTCAGCCTACTATATTGAGACAATCATGTTTCCATCTATATTGTCAACAATCACGTTTTTCTTAAATGAACGAAACATTTTGAAATTGATTGTCATTTCATGTGGGTTGTTTTGTTTAAAAAAAATATTATTCCTTATGATTCCAATTTAGATTACGCAGAAGATATTTTTAGCAAACCTTAGCCATCTGTCGTTTTCTGGCTCATATAATAAGCTAGAGCTAATATATATTCCTTTAACTTGAAAAGGAGTGCTGAGATATGACATGTTAAAAAATAAATGTTAGGAGAGTATTCAATTTAGAAAAACATGTATTTATTCTTTCAAAATTATTGATTATTCTCTCATTTATTTATTTTCAGTTGTATTCATTACACATGCCTATAAATATGCACTAATATTCAGCGAAAAAAATCCACCAAATTCTTTCCTGATAATATATTTTTTTATCATCATTCTAATTTTTGCATATGGAGTTGACTCCATACATTACTCACTCAACAACTTATTCATTTTATCTTTACTGTGACAACTAATTGAACTGTTCTCCTTTTTGAACCAGCTTCAATTTGTTAGGCATCTTTCCGTCAGCTGCACTCCAATAAAGCAACGGCAGAGAGGTCAAGAAACAAAGGCAGAATGGCGAAGGAAGTACGTTTACCCCAACAACTTCATTCCCATTATGCATTCAAGACTTGATTGCAAACTGTTTTTTTTTTTTTTTTCTTCTTGTTCGAAGTGAAGTATTTCTTGCTGAAAGCACTGGGCTTGATTTTCCAGGTCATGGTCTGGAGCTGAACTCCTTGAATTTGAATTTGAGGATTCTGGATCAGATAACAGAAGGAACAGAGAGGATTCTCCTGTCATTAGGGAGGATAAAAGTCAATCCACGGTGGAATGGGTAACCATGAATAGTGGGGAAGAAGAGAGACTTGCCGTAAAGAATCACTGGCAGTTCAAGTTTTCTCGTTACTTGAAGGGTTTCTTATGCTACTCCAATCCTATATATATGACTAGAGAAAGGTAAGGGTATGGGAGTCACTGAAAATGTTACTGATTTGCAAATTCAATACAAGTTGTGTCTTATCATTTAAGCCAAATGCATAAGCTTTGTTTGTTTTACCACCATTTTTAAGATGCTTTCGACTTTTGTCTATTATTAACTCTTCATAGTTACACTGAGTAATATAAAAACCAGCTTTAATTCACTCGTAACTTATTACATCCTTTGTACGTCAGTCCTAGTTTCTGCACATTGTAAATACACCCCACAGCGAGTTACTTTCACTTTTTAGAAGAAAATTTAAGTTGCTATAACTTGAGAGTTTAAAGAATATATATGAATATTTTACTGATTAAAAGGAAAACTAAAATAAAGCAAGGACAGCAGGGCAACCTCTAAAAAAGTAGGTCTTGTAAGATATACTGAAAAGACTTTGAGCTTCTTATTGCGAATGCCATTATTATTTATGTGACTCAGATCTGCAGGATAATCGTGGTATCACTGTTTTGTCTTTTTCTTTACATTTCATTTTATTTTCGTCTCCTTTTTTTTTTTCTTTTCCTAACAGTAGTATTAGTATTTTTGTAGTAGAAGGATTATTATTATGAACACTTTTATTTCGGTGCTAAACCTTTCTCATTAAAATAGGGAAGAGAAGGAAACAACATGATGTTTCAAAATTTAGCTGCCAAAACATTCTGGGAAATAACCTGTAGGTTGTGACATTGAAAAATTCAGACGGTCTTTGAAGAAGATTTTAACCTCTCCATACTTGTTAGGATGCTTCTGATGGTGATATTTGATTCATTAAATCGTAAACGATAGCTCTTGACAAGAACACACAGTTACAATTAGAAGTAGTAGAAGAAGAAATACATAAAATAGGAAACTATTTTGTTATAACTGCTAGAGTAGAGGAGTTGGGGTGGCCAAATTGGTGATGTCATAGGGAGGAGGCTAAAGTTGAGATGAAGGCTACGACAGGAGCTGAATGTGTTGAAGAAGTGAGTGACACAAGGTAGAGCTTATCACAGCAAGGACTGCGGAGAAGTGTTTGCTGGTTCGTCCAATCCTTTATAGTGTATCCAAAACCATCAAAGGAAATGATATAATTATTTTCAGATGTTAGCTTTGAAATAGAAAGAAATTTGCGAAAAAGTTTTGGAACATGAATGAGAGGAGCTAAGAGCAGAGTTCGTGAAAGTGTAGGAAGAAAACCTTTGCCAGAATGTAGAATGAGCAGCGAACTGCCATTGCCGACGAGTACTTGATTGGAGCCATTGTCAGAGGAAGGTTACCGAACTGATTGAATATCAGGTGTCAAGTGTGTTGTTGTGCCACTGTCCAGGTACCAGGAGAAAGAAGAGCCACCTGTATTAGCACCTGTATTAGCAAGTAAAACTTGATTACTAGAGAAAACAGGGGAAATATATGAGTGGTTTATTGTATGCCAGCAATTGAAGGCGGAGTAACCACGTTTATCACAAATAAGGGATGGATATGAAAGAGGTTTGATTGTAACATCCACAGGTTGCTTCGAGTAAGGAGGCCTAAGATAAAGCAAGTTCTCTCTCTTTAAAGCATAACATTAAGCACATGGTAAAGTGATGCCCACTTTGGTAAGTTTAGAATTCACTTACATGGATGAATTCCAATATTATGAAAAAATAGGGCGAATGAGATTATAATTCGACATGATAATAAACATAAGATTTATAAGATTATAACCTAGCTTGTGAAAGAGTGTGAAACTTAGGTTACCTAATCAAAGAATGATGGGTTCTACGCCTCATTTAAACAAAAACACATATCAAGGTGGTTTGCAAACTCTTTATGTTCTTAATCAAATTCATGGCATAGATGGGGCTTAAAGCATCTTGATTGTCTTAGGATGGATCTTACAACCTCGCACTATTTACAGTGGCTTAACTTTGGATATTCATCGAAGGTCTTATGTAAATATTCAATTAAATATATTGGCGAAGTCATGTATTGAATCTTAAAGGCCAAGAGTTGGGGCTTACTCCTTTATTATCAAAGATGCACATAAGCAAGATTTATCATCCTGATTTCAGAATGGCTTATAAGTGGGACTTACTGCCTCTTTTTGTGAGGAAAATTTAATTGGGGGTCTTACTACCTCGTAATATATGCAAAATCTTATTCAAATGTATAACCAAATATATTGGTGAATGTCATGTATTAGACCCTACTTATTAAAGATGCTTATAGCTAAGATTTATCATTTCAATATTAGAAGGGTCTGCAAGTGGAAAAATTATTAGGTCAGGTAACCTGACGTAGCTCTACGTCCGGTAGCCAATAATATGCCGTCATGTGCTCTTACCCTTTACCGCGCGGCCCGACGACCCGACTCGGACCGGAATCCGGGATTACTATATTCGCGTATTGCTCGGTATTGCTAGGTATTGCTCGGTATTGCTTGACAATAATGAGAAATACTGCTCTGTGAAGACCAATACCGAGCAATACCGAGTAATACCTAAAAGAACTC